TCAGCGTGGTAGCCCGTTAGTCCGCAACACTCCGGTACTGCGACGGCCCCTTGCCGTCAGCGTGACATCTGAACGCTCAGAACAAACATGGACCCTCCCTGTCACTGCCTGGCTGGGCGCTGCGTTTTCAGGTTCGCATGGAACCTGGAAAAACGGTCTGCCGAGTTGCTACGGTGGCTCACGCTTAAACACTGCTCACACACTTGGAGACATCTGCACCATTCTGCACCGCAGTTTTTCTTGAATGTGTGGGGCGTGCACGATAGGCGCCCGTCAATGGTGGACTCTGAGTGTCACGAAGCTACGAACATCTGAGACTGAGAACCCAAAAAAGGGCATACTGCGTACTCCATGCCAATTCGGGTGGCAGGCATTTGTCGTGCCTCTCGTGCATAGGAGCACTAAGGTATGACAGTGTGATGTTAGTCCCATCAGCACCATTAGTTAGCGCACCGCGCACCTGAGCACTTCCTCAACTGTCAGGTGTGCGAACATAAGATCGTCCTGCGGACAGACACAACGCGAATCGCTGCAGCTTCATCTACGTGAGCAGAGTTCGGAGGTCCTGAGGTACGTAGGCTGATATCCGATTCCAGAGCATATCCCGTGGCCGACCGTTGACATGGATGGTGCCCTGCGAAGGCACCGCTGTCAGGGTGCGCGAAGCAAGCACATGGATGCAGCTGCCCACTAAGCTCAGGTCGAAACATCAAATCAGACCTGTGCGGCATTTGACCTGCCTCGTGCGGAGCAGACTTCTTTCCAGCCTCGGCGTCAGCACAACCACATGAGCTACTTATTTCTCGGCCGTGAAACTCTGCACAGTATTGAGCGGCAGGCCAGGATGTCGAGTAAGGTTGTCTTTCCCGAGCCTGCATCGACTCGCGAAACGAAACCCTATTGATGTGGTCTGACACCGGGGGTCAGTCGGCACCAACATCTATTCTATCATCGCTCAGTTTGCCCCGGATGGCCAGTACAAGAAACCATTCTTCTTTGCAGGGAGGGGGTACTTGGCTTCAACCATCAACCCAGACATCCCACGAACCCCGTTCTGCAAGGCATGCGACCGACACAAAGCTGCTGTCTCTCTTGCTTAATGCCAGGTTCACCACACTCTTAGCCGAGGTTGTATGCTAAGCATCCATACATATCCATACCTCCGCGGCTTCCCAAGGTCAGGCTGCCCGCGCTTACGGATCACTGCCAGGCTGCAGGGTTGCTCATGAGCTAATCAATTACCCTTCCATGGCCGAAGGACGGAACATCCTGCAAAGTCTCGATCCGGAACAAGCTTCATCAACTAATCCTCTAGCCTGAAATAGAATCTGCAGGCCCCAAACAGTGACAGGCCTGACGGCCCCATCAGCGCTACAAGCTGACCTCGGCCCGCTTCTTCGGAGTCCGAGCTCTGGAGGTTTTTGCTGTACGGCTGTAGGCAGCAAGCTTTCCCGAACACCTCTGGCTCTCAGCTGTTCTTCAGCCGAGCACAGTATTGCCAACTGCTGAGCACAACAAGCAGCTCGCGTTCACAAAGCGCTCGGACAACGGATCCCTTGACACTCACCTCAATCCTGAAACCCCAAACGCAGATCCAACCAAGGCTCCGGGTTCATAATGCCCTGAAATTCGGTCCAGGATCTTCTTCCTCCCATCGCCTTGGAGCAGCGTGGCAGGCAGATGATTGCAGCTTGGCCGTGTTCATGTCTTCAGACCTGCGGACGATTGATAGATCCAAGTCCGCATGGCAAGAAACACCGATGGGGCGGACTGTGGGCTTGGCAGTTTGAACGTCCCCTGTACCATTCAAGAAAACTGTCGGTTCCGAGCAATGGAACCATACGGTGGGGGCTATCTGATCTTACGATTCAACTATAGCCCAGAGCAGTTCACCTTCCGTGCCGGCTGCTTTGGAGGACGGCTTCAACTTGTATTCAACTGCTAACAGCTGCCCGAAATCATGCCAAGCGTCTGCTTGTACTCTTCTCACTGTCACCAGTGTTGCCACTTCGCGGTGTTGCACCAGTCCGGACTGATTTCGTGGCATGCGATATACAGTGGTTCTGCGTCTGGGGGATGGAAAAGCTAACGTCCTCGAAGGTGAGATGAACTTGCCCAACAGCAAACGCTTCCTGAGGGAAGGCAAGAATCACAACTCTGTGTCCCAATCCCGAGCCGGTAGGTTAGAGGTTCGCAGGGTTCCAACTTGCAGGAAAGAACTTAGGGTTCTTGGGCCCGAGCATAGGGAAGGGTTTCGGGTTTTGTTGTCTCCTACTTTGCCAGGACGAGCCCGCATTGCAGGATTTTTCATTGTCTGAGGAGTTGAAAGAGCCCACGGACCATGGTTTAGGGCCTAAGTTTAGGGCTTAAGCTGAAGGGTTCCAAGGATTCAGGGCCAATTTCGCTCGGTGGTCTAGGCTTCTGACCTTTCGGGAACAAAGATGTAGGGTTTGAAACTTACAGGATAAACTTCTAGCAGGTCTGGACTCTGGATGGAAAGGGTTTAGCGGTTGGCGTAGGGTCTTGAGCTAGAAGGAAGTTAGGCCGGTTTAGGAGTTGAGTTCAGGGGTTTCACATCTGAAGAGTTGGAGCTGCAAGGACATGCTTGGCTCCCGCATTGCAGGGACATGTTTCGGCGCTCACACTCGGGCAATCCAGGCGAGGCATGTGGTTCGAGGTCTGATGAGTGAGACAATCTAGTGGGAGTGGCTGACAATACACTTCGCTTAGAATCACACTGCTCTTCATAGTATGTTCTCCAGTCCCCTCAAGGAAATGTTTAAGGTTCAATGCTTTTGGGGCTTGTTTGTAGAAGGAAACTAGGGCCTAGCTTGACAGTAGTCTGGCGCATTTTGCTGTGCATTTAGCCGTCTGCGCTCACCACGACATCCATTCTTTCAATCAGTGTGTGAGTGAGTTATCCTCCCTGATAGTTACAAAAGTGGTGGAGAATCAGCGAATACAAGCAATAACCAGCAGTGAAGCCCTACAATTGCGAGAGCTGCTGACAGCAGGTGCTGAAGCCGGGCGGCATCTGCTACGACATCACCGGCCTCGCCGTTTATTGCTTTGAGATCTGCGGGCGTAAGCCTGCGCAGCATGCATAGCAGAGCTGGCAAACCATCTCCCCTCAACGGCTGCAGCAAAGGAACTAAAGTTTTCCGAAGATTCCGTCGGGCCACTGCAAACCCCAAGGCAGCGCTATTTCAAACCGTAGGCCACGTGTGTCCAAAAAAGAAGTCGCTGATGTAAGCGAGGATCCTAGTCTCAAATGACAGAACCGCGTAATGCAGTCCTCTGGCTTCGCACCATTTCGCACCATGCAGATGCGTCCCAACACAACAGTGCAAACACAGAGCGGCTCTCATTCCATGTCTGCAGCACGATCATCCTCAATTCTGCACTGTTCCTGCTGGAAGCTGATATGAATCAACCGTCTAGTTGGAAAGCACAGGCACATCTGTGTCCCCTGTGCTTGGCTTTGAGATTGGCAAACCCAAGCCCAGCTCCCCTCCGAGTGTTCAAAGCCTGACCCGCGTTTGTCCCAAAAAACTCCGTATGGAAACAAGACAGTAGTGTAAGCCACTACTTCTGCAACATTGAACACTACCCGGGCATGCCATATCATCTGCGGTTGCAACTGCCAGCGGCCTCACTTGCGCATCGAACAGCGCCTGGGCCGTCGAGCACACAGTCTTTGCTGAAGTCCACCCTCATCGAAGCAAAACGTGGTGGCCTTCCATCAGTACAGTACGAATTCGGAGGCGGCCCCAAGCTTGGAAGATTCTGAACGAATCCTGACTATGCCGTAGAAAGGCTGACCGAACATCTAGGATTCAAACACCTGTGATCCCATTTTGCAGGCTGAAGGAGTATACTCAGTTAACAAGGCGCCTCTCAAGAAGTCCCCGCACTTCGCTGCGGCATCTTCATGACACCGGCACCCGCTGCTGGCCGAGGCGCTTGAACCTCTTGTGTTGACTGCCGCGCCATCTCACGCGGCGGCCTTGGTCAGTGAATTGAAAGACCAAGTCATGCCTGAATCCTGTTGCTTAAGCTGGTCGCCTGTTGCAGTGACCGACCGTGCATCTCGGTGCCAGGGGCTGTCTGAATTAGGGGGCCCGACGGACGGCGGACCTCGGACTCATCGAAGTCACTATAAATACTCAGCGGGCGTGTCAAGGTGGTTCAAGTCGAGTCTCTGTATGGACAACGATCCAAAATGCCGGTCTCGATTAGCCTTGTGCCCGTCGAGGTCGAACAAACACACATCCACACTTTCGGATATGTCACGAGCGACACGTGGGACGTGGGACTCTTGCCGAGTCTTAGCTCGAAATCTGCCATTGCGCATGCATCAACGCGCCGCTTGTCCCGTGATGCAGGAACCAGGCGAAGCTAAAGCAGCCCTGCCGAAGTTTGAGGCGCGGGCTCACAGATCGGACCGCTTGGGCCGGATGTCCGCGTGTCTTGGTCCGGCATGCCAGTGCTGGGCGGAGCCATTTCAACACCTTGGTGTCCGTGCCACATCTCATGGCACCACTGTGCACTTAGGAAAGGTTGCAGCCAAGCGGCTGCCGCTCGCCATCCCAACGACAAAAGACTTAATTACCCAACTGTCTCTGCAGTTGTCTCAGCTTTGAGCCATCGGCATATTCTCAGCCTCTGAGCTGCTGTCTGCAGAGCGCCACAGCCTACATCTTAGATCCCGTGAAGGCAAGCACAGAGCACGAAAAGAAGCCCAGATCTTACAACCCGTGCACAGATGCCAGCTCTGTTCCGACGCACGTTGGGTCGAGCAGACTGTGACTAGTCAGCGCCGCTTCGGGCAAGAAGCGCGCACAGAGGAAAATCAGGACAGCTCCATCTTCAATCCATCTTTCCAGAATGCCTGCACTGAACTGCTACATACCCAAGTGACGCGGCACAATAGATACTTGTACTAGATGCTTCTCTTTGTTTGTGCATTGGAGCTGGTCCGGCACGCCTCTCACCGATTCTCACCATTTCCTGAGAGATCGTCACAATCTTGTCACGTTCCCTAAAGATCATGACCGAGCTGAGAAATCATGACCGAGCTGAGAAAAACAGGGCTGCAAGAAACCAAGCGGCTCTTTCGCATCCAGCATGCCTGCGCTGCGTGCTGTGCCAGCTGAACCATGTCTCTTGCAGCACAAAGACAAGCTTGAACGGAGGGTTCTTTTGACACTCATAGTCGGGAGTACCAGGCGAGGTCTGCAGACCAGGGAGAAACTCTCTTATGAATGGAGGTTACTGAGTACTGCGATTTGGGATGGGGACACTGCGCATGACAGTGGCATCGCAGGCAAGTAAAACGGATAACAGCACGATGCCCAAATGCCCTCACAGCAGCAGTGTCTCTTGCTCTGCATCCAAGTCGCGTTTGAAGATGCCATTTGGCCGGGCGGCCACCTCCTTCACAGCACCCTGGCAGGGCTCTCCATGTCGAACAAGGCCGAATCCAAACTACCAGTACCGTCATGTTGACCCATCGGTGGCGTTCAACGAGCACAGGCAAGGACGTCCCAACTTCTCTTTTCACTCAAGCAGCTACCTCTACCGAGTGGCATAGACTGGGCATAGAGCAACCCCTAAACAGCCCTCACAGAACCCAACTGCAAGAACCAATTGCACAGCCCGAGACACACGACTCCCCGGTATCTGGCTCACTCATAGGCCGTGGGCCTCCTCTGCCACCTTGCCAGAGTCGAGGACTACGACCTGAGTCATGACGAAACACTCATGACCAAGCGTTGCAGAAAAGACCAGGTTTGGCAATGCCTTGTCACTACTAGGCTTTGCTTCTCAATGCCGGTACAGCCTGGCCGAGCCCATCAATGCACGAACTTTTTGTTGTGGCTCAGGAGAGCCAAGACAATCTGAAATGGGTGGGCTTAGGGACGAAACAACGGCCAGAGCCTGAGAGCCACACTTGGTCAAACCTCGGCACACAGCTGAGCTGCGGATTTCACCGATGCGGCACTCTAGCGGAACCTTGTGTGCGACTGCCACCCAAGGCCGGAACTCCATGATAGTCTCCAGGCGGTGGGCCACCGCCAGCATTGTGGAGCCGGGGAAAGCATGATTGATGGTATCCTGCACCGACTCCTGTCAGCAATTTGCAAAGTCCTAGAAGGCCTCACATCCTGTGACCGGGCAACCAGAAGGAGAGGACGAAGGAGGAAGGATCCCCAGGCAGCTTCTTGGGTCTCCTGCGTGGCCGGATCAATCGCAGAAGTCGCCTCGTCCAGTAGCAGCAGGGCCGGCTGCCTGCTTTGGAAGTACTTCACGTCTGGCTCGCAGACTGGGTGCGGTGCTCTTGAACCCTACTACAACAGCATTCTGCAACCTCTCCGCCTCTCCACTTCATGATTCTGAAACCCAGTCTGGCCGTACGTGCAGAACCTCCCGCCTCAGCACCATGCGTGCCAAGCACAGCAGCTGGCGCTGCCCGAAGCTGAGATTGCCACCTTCCATGACGCGCACACGGGTCGTGTCCCCGCGAGCACTGCGCACTTCCATGAAGCATAAACGCGTGTGGCACACATCCGCTCGCCCTCGACATCACCCAATTACAACATCTGAAAACCATCGCCCTGCTCACAAGGCGAACGACTCGGAAACATAGTTTGGAGACCCTGCCAAGCTGGAACTGCTACCCCACGACGTCCCTTGATCGGCCTTCATCTGACACCACATGATCCAGGCCTGAGTAAGCCGACTGTTTGTGCGGGCACTTGTTCTGCTTCAGTGCTTTTTTGAAGACATGTGAGAACTGCCAGGCCGCGGGCCGGCTATGCAACCAAGGGGCCGAGAGGCAAGGTGTTGACAAAGCTCTCCAAGTGCGCCAAATTCACAGCTTTCCTGGGAGGTCACGACATGCAGTCAGGCAAGCTTGCTCGCCTGGAGATGTCGGCAGATTGGCCCCAGTCGCCAAAGAACATGCTTCCCTGCACTCTGAGAACTGCCGTGAAACCCCTCACTTGCATTCTGAGAGTCCGGATACGGCCATCAGTGTAAACCTTGCAGAAGAGATAGGAAAAAGCAAGGAATCCCATGATGAAGGCAAGGCTGGCGATCTCTCCGTCCCCTGTACCTCTTCGACCCGCTTGAGATCACGAGCCCTTCGGCCCAGGGTGTTGCGACACAACAAAGGCCAGATTTGTGCCCAGAGTCGCAGGTCTGGTCTTCCTAATACACATCCCCATTTCTTCTCGCCGTCCAACTAACTGCCATTGAAGCCCTGATCGCGAGAGCCGCAGAGCCTTGAATGGATCCAGGTTGTGCCGCAGAGTGCCCGTGAAGAGCATGGGATCCTGCCCCACTGCCAATTCAAAGAGGCATCCCCACACTGTCAGCCAGACATCTGCTGTTGAGCACTTGTTGATTCCGAGCTGTGTCAAAAGAGTGCAGTCACCGAAACATCGTGGTATCGTGTGGTGACCGGAGGCTGCTTACCTGACGCCACTCTCAGCTCGCTTCTGCTCGAAACTCCGCGACCCAGAAACGAGCGCTGCCAACTTGATTCATCCCCCACCCCTGCCCAAGACTAGAAGTTGATATGTGGTCAGAATTACGCGTGACAAGTACAGAACCCAAGTTGAGACTGAAACGGAGCCGTTTTGCTCGCTCCTGTGGCACCAGACCCAGAGAACTGCGCAGTGTGGCCTCGGCGACACTGGTGATGACATTGCTAGCTGCTACGAAATCTCTGGCTTCCAACGACCCTTATTCTGCAACCTGCCTGACATAACGAACGCAATACCACACTGCAGTGACAAGGACAGGGCTCATGGCGAGAGAAGCCTTACATGGAAATGCCAGCCCCTCATTGCAACGGTTAGAAAATATTCGAACAAGGGCCTCGACTCGCTGCGAAACTCGCCAAAGGCAATGCTCAGTCCCGAAAAGGAGCTTGGAAAGAAGAGGACTTGGAAATCTTGACGTTGGATAGGTACTACCTATGAAGTACACCGAGCCTGATACCTAAATGGGCGGCATGTGATGTTGAAAGGTGTCGGCAAGTTGCTGAGGCGTCAATGTCTTGTTTGTGTTCCACTGCCTCATGACCTTTTTTTATTTAAGCTTGCCACTGAGAGGGCCAGGAGCCATCCCCCGGTAGCCCAAACGAATGAAAGCAGTTCTGACTTCTTGACGAGACTATGTCCATTGCCAAAAACGAGGCAGTGCACTGATGTGTCCATCACAAGTAAGAAATCGTCCTAAGCCATAGTCTTGCAAGCCCACCATGGACATTGCGGGATAGTGAGCCTGGACCTGCCAACCGTCTCTTCCCAGCTCGTCCACGAGCTGCCAGTGAATCTGGCGCGAATGTGTTGACACGTGCAAGCGCCGAACCCGAGTCGACAGCCAAGCCAACAAGCCTGATAAGATAAACTCTTCTGCTCCCTGCGCATCTATGTCGACCAGATCCCATAGATCACCCGAGCCCAGCAAGGCTTTGACCTGGTCGCTCGTGCTCAGCAGATCCCTGTGCACTTCGAATTTGCACCGCCCCATTGGCAAATTCATAGCTGTGTGTGTTCGCAACATGGAGCCATCCCCCAATTCAGGCTCAACAAGCAGCAGTTCACAGGGCCGGTCGGCCGCAGCGAGCATGGTGTAGGCCTTTGCTGCACGCATGGCCCAAATTCCGTAAGGTCCGCTGCCCAATTCGGCCATGCGGAATGGTCGCCCGGCCTGTGCTGCATCCACAGCTGTCGTGAGGCTATCGGCCCATTCCAGATACTCCTCGTCCAGCACGGGCCAAACACGAGGCAACGGCATTCCTCGCTGGTAATAGTTGCACAGTATTGTTCGCCCTGGCGCCAGCAGGGCCAGTTGCTTTTGTTGACAAATAACCTCGATTGGCATAGACACGCCGAGGAAATCCAGCATGAACCCCTCCTGCGCAGGTCCCTGTACTGCTGGGAACTTCTCGAAAATCGGAAGGTTCCTCTTCTCACACCTACCAGCAAAGATGTCTAGCAAGCATGTATTGTGGTTTTGCATCAGCATCTCGTAAATTGGCATGGTTTGCTGCTCCTTGAAGTAGAAGAACGCTTCACTCATGAGGCGGGCAGTACGATGAGTCAAGGAATCGACACGGCGCTCGTCCACCAAACGCACGCCGATCTCAGCGGTGAAGATAACACGTCGCTGGATGTCAATGAACTTCTGCCGCAAAGCTGACCGAGCTGTTGCGAGGCCGGGACCGGCACGAAGCTTTACGTGGTAGAGCTGCAATGCTACTGACAAATTCTGCAGCTTTTTCACATCGGCTTGATGCCGCACCTTCAAAGTCGTAAGCTCGTCACGGACCCCGCTTTCAAGCGACAAGAACCCGGCGAAGCAGCCACAGCAAACAGCTGTAGAATTCGGGCCAGCAGATTGAGAAGTCTGGCCGCAAGTTTGACAAAAGCTGTTGAAGGCCTCTGACCCAGCATCCAGTGAGCGCACTCTATGCAAAGCCTGGAGAGCTTGCGCGGGCGTGCAGGGCTCGTAGAACTCTGCGGCCGCGATGGACAGGAGTAGTGTCAGGTGACAGGGTGGCATCAATCAATGTCTCACTTCGGTTCATGATCAATGGCCATCATGTCTCGATTGGCATACCACAGCACATGGTACATTATCACTGAGCAAACCCTGAGAACTTGTGGCTGTGGCAGCAATCACTCTAGCAAGCCAGGGCAAGTTCACGCCTGTGTAGGCGCTGAGGGTTGATATGTTTGCAACTCGCGTTTCCGCCTCATCACGCCCCCCCCCCCGGGTTCAGAGTTTGCGACGAGCTGCTTTTTCTCGCTTGCGGGCTATGTGGTGCCTCAAGAGCCACTCTGTGTCTGCTTGCTACTGGGATCCATCCGAAGCTTACGGCTTAGGGTTTGTCACGCATCACTGCCTTTCGGGTGTTGGGTTGGTTTCGGTATGTTGATTGGCTTAGTTGTGGGCCCCTCACTCTTTGCAGGGTTTCGTTCTTGTCACAGCCGATGATGACCATGGTGACAGCAATTGCCGTTACGACAGCGATCGACCATGAGGAAGCTGTGGAGGGTGACCAGGATGACGCCCGAAGACGAATGACCAAGCACTGACCAAGCCCTAAGGCACTACGAGTACCCCAAGGTCCGATGTTCAAGCTTTTCTGTTGTCTGAGTGTATTCAGGCATGAAAAATGCACGAATTCCCAGCTCTCAGCCGTGATCACTTCCAAGCTTCCTATAGGACTAGGACTAGGGGAGCTGAGCTCATGGCCAGGCCGATCTCCTGGGTGTCGATTCCTGAGACGACTCTGCTCCCAAGCTTCGCCGATTCCGTCGGAAAGAGATAGCATCTGTCCGGACAGTGCTGTATTAAGAACTTAGGGACTGCAAACATGTTGTCACGACATGTGCCAGAAAGTTTCATGCTCCAATTGTGAGCCACGGGACCATTGATGACGATCTTCCCACCGCGAGGCTCAATGATGCGAAGCAGCGCCAGCCTCGCATCGTTGCAAGTTGTGCTGAATGCGCAACAGTGGCAGCAAGCCCAAGTGGAACAGCACCTTTGCCCCTGTTGCCAAGGAACAACATGCTGGATTTTCCGCAGCCGGTGGTGCCTCAAATCGGTGTGACAGCTGCATCGCTGCATCGATAAGAGGTGTGCCTCGGGCAGCCGAGAAACCAACGACTGCCACCTTCATGCGCGGCTCGACACTGAAGGTCACGCCCTTCAGGACATCCTGCAATGCTGCAGGGCCACAGAGCCATACCCCACTCGCAGCCTCGCAGGAAACAAAAGCAAGTGGCGAGCGCCTGAGGCACCTCCGCATAGCCCGCACGCAGCTCCTCGAGTGGAGGCTCGGCAGCACGGACTGGCCCAGCACTCTGATTGAATTTTAATTAGCGCAACCGCCGCAAAGCCGCCTACATCCTGAGCAACCATGCCCAGTGCTAGGGCAAGGGTCCTGAATGTCCAACCGCGCTCCGTCAGAAAGCCAGCTGCTCTGGAACTCGATGACGACCTGCTTCAGTTGCCAAGGCCACAAGGCCAGTAGCGGCGCACTATGCTGCCAGAGGCGCCAAATATTTCAACATCCAGCAGCCACGTGAAGTCACAGCCATCACCCTACAATGGCCCTACAAGATTGCAACGGGCAGACCCCTCACTCCATCCACCGGTGATCTTCCTTCGATTGTCTTGCACGCCTCATTGTTTGACTTTTCCACCCCAACTTCGTGCCTGCGGTTGCGTCGTGAAGGCCGTTGCCTCGTGCTGAAAGCTGGAGGCTTCAAAACATGACAATGCTCATATTGCGCTGGGTCCTTGAGAGGCAGGGCTGAACCCCGAGAGACAGAATCTCCGACAACAAGTCACAAGGCAGATCAGAAGGTCGAAAGCTTTGCATGGTTGGCCTCAATGTCCTTCTGTGCATTGACAGGTCTGCACAGTGACTCCTATTAGGCGAGACTTTGCTGAACAAATGTCAAGCTTGCCGCGCTGGTATCAGCGAGGTCACAACAGGCAACGGTGAGAGAACTGCCTAGACAGCTTAAGCCTACAGAACCTCCGGCCGACTCCAGCTCTGTACCTTCATCTCTTCGCTTCCACATCCGAAAACTACTCCTGGCCAGGTCACCGTCATGAAACTCCGCGGATGCCGACAAAGCTCCTGCGCGACGTCCTTCCTGAGCTGCGCTGGAGCTTTGACGCCGTTTCAGGATTGAAGGGCGTGGACTAGAAGCGGCTCAAAGCGTAGCTAGATGTAGGTAGTGGCTTTGAGCTTTGCACCTTCGTGCTATCAGCAAGGCCCTTGTGCATGGTTCGACACTCTGTCATGAAATGCTCGTCTTTGGCTCCTGAGGAGCAAATCCGAGGCTAGGCGAGGCTTTAATGCTTGCACATCGAAGACAATAACACGAGTTGTGATCGGGACATCATCAAGCGGCGCACTGCCGGAGGCATCATTGACGGCCACAATGTGGTGCAAGCTGGGAATTTGGTTCAGCTCGGCACACACTGGGCACAGCTCCTCCACTCGAGCATAGGCTGTCTTGGAACCAGTGCGCATATCATCCAAACTAGAATAGATGTTCCAGCATGCGGAGCATAGACATTTTGTTGAAGACAACTGACACGTGACCGTAATGAACATGGTCTGCGCCTGAAACCTGCCGATGTTGCATTCGCTGCTGTTGTCCGCCAACATGAGGGCACGTCCATCCGGCGTTGAGTGAAGCAGCGTCTTCCCGTTCCTCGATAAAGCCGAGAAGATGATCGCAACTCTGCGAGGCTGACTCCCTCCCGTCATGCTCTGTCTTCCGAGCGTCGCGAGGACCTCAATCCTGTCGTTCACTTCCTTGGAGGAGACTCATGTAGCTAACACGAGTCAGGGCCAATGATTAAGCGAATTAGCGACAACTAGCTGTATTCCTAGTGCAGCCCCCCGTGCTCTGTCGTTCTGGATCGAAAAGAGACTCTGGCCATGTGCTACCGACTCCGTCGTCACGGAATGAATGTTCGGCCCAGGGGCACGGACCGTGAGCGGAGTGGCTTTTGCGCGGTAGAACCGGACGGAGTAGTTGCGCAACTTGGCATCCTTCATTGACAGCATGTTGAATGTTCGGCGGACCGATGGTCAGAATGCATCAATCGACAGGACTGGCACTGAAACATCCCTCTATCAACTCTTCTGGACCGGCTTTCCATGAGAATCGCCCAAAGGCTGTCAATGTGATGCAGTTGTGCTGAACGCTTTGCCGCCCCTCTCCTCCGGAGTGGTCATCGCCTTTTCCTGCGTCACCTGATTCCGGTGAAGACCCCTGATTAAACCCAAGAACTTTCTCAGCTGAAACCGGACCACGACATGATCTTCAAGAAAAACCCTTGTCAAAAAGCTCGGAGGACCTCTATCGACTGAGCTGCCTCTCTGCCTCTCTCATTGTCCATAACTCCATTGAATACACACGCCTCCGTCATCTCTCTACATCTTTTTGCAACTGGGCTTGGGGCTACCAGATCCTTGCATCGCGCTACGTCCAAAAGCCAAACCTGTTCACAAGGTCCCTCCGAGACGGGCACGGACGTGTACTCGTGAACACGGGCAAGCGCGATGAGCTCAAAGAGGGCGCCCGCCATCATCTCCAGGCTGGGCTCGATCATTGTCCTGAAGACCGGCTGGATGGGCACGGATGCCAGATGCTACAAGTAGCATGTGATGTGTCTCATCGACAGGACATGACTGCAGAGCTTGCGGCTTGTGCACTGAGCCCATCATCTCGGAAACCAAACCTCCAAGAGCGGAAGCCTCTAAAGACTTCTCTTCCCTTTCGGGGCATCTTCCCATGACCGCCAGAACCACCCATGCCTCACGAAAGTCCCCGGTCTAGGTCTGGCCGGGGTAAAGTAAGTTTTCAGCAACGGCTTAGATACAGCCGGAAAGGCCCGTCAAATAGCGCACGAAAAGGCCTCCCTTATCAGGCAGAGGCGGATCCCACCCTACGTGGTTCTCGCCAAGAGTCTCGAGCAACAGCAAGTTTGTCCTTAGAGGTGGAAGATATTGACCCGCAAAGGGTCCATGATTCCCGTGGCATGCTTCACACAGCACGCGAAGCTTGCGAATACTTCACGACAAACTATTCCGGAACCACTTCGGGGAGATGGGGACTCTCAAGAAAAGGAATACGTAGCCACTACAACCTGCTTTCTTGCGGGAGGGTTGAAGCCAAGGCGCAAGGCAATGCCCAGGGTTCCCGGGCCCAGCCATGAAGCATTGTAAAGGCCGATGATGTAGGTGATCTGCGGTATGTAGCACTTGGAAGAGCTCTTGATTAAGGCCCCGAGGGCCTAGTGCAGATAGCCCATGCTCAAACTCAAGGCCAATATGAAGCAAAGTTTGTCTGCTTCGTGCCAGGCGGCCGCGTTGTAAAAGGTCCAGAGGTAGTTGACACGGTTGCACAGCCAGCGCTTCATCAGCCTGTCGTCGGTGAGGTCCGCCTTCCACAGAGCATCTCATGCCGTGAACAGGAATTAACTCAGGCACCATTGCTGGAACGCGTTCGGGCAACTGCTTGGCATGACGTGCTGGATGTCTCCCTGTGCTGCGGGTTCCACATGGCTGAATCTGGTCTTACGCTATCTGCCCCCTCACACTGGATTCAGTGATTCAGGCTTTTTACCTTGGCTTGGGCACGGACTGCGATGTCACGTGCCATGGCGACGTAGTTTCATTACCTGAACCCCTTTGCCCAGGCACCTTCACCGAGTTGTCTACGCAAGCCTCGGTTGGCCGGTCTCAGGAGTCGAAGGACCCCCGCTCGACGAAAGAAACGGCTACCCCGAAGCAAATGCTACTAGTAGCAGCTCTATGCATCCTGTCGGACTCTGCCCTGGACCCTCCATGCAGGCCACGGAGCAGCATACTGAACAGCTATGCGATTCTGCTCACCGAATCCACGCACCACCACAGTGTTGGTCATCACCTCAGAGCTTTCAAGCAGCAGAGGCTTCTTTGATAGCACGGCATGCTCGACTGGCTGCGGTGTAAGAACCTATGTTCTATATTACTTCCTAGATGTGACGGCACTTTGGAATTAGCATTTCATCAAGTATCTTCGATTCCTTCCCACCTGCATCTGACCGAGTTGCATCTGACAGGTGACTCTGCGTGATGGAGGAGGACGTCTTGAAGCAGTAACGCAGGGGAACGGCCGTGTTTTGATAGCGCAGATACCTCGCTATGCCAGGCGATGATAGAGCAGATGCAACGATCTCCACGGTGGAAACTCGTAACCTGTTCAGCCGAAGACACAATTCGAAGACCACATAGTAGAAGGGGAACGCAAAGACTGACATGTACCAGGGCATGATGAAGTGGATGTACGCCAGCGGCACAAGTGTCCTGGCCAAAACCCAAGAACCCTCTTTCAACCCCAATCCTTTCCAAGGCAGGATGTCAAAGCTAAAATGGATACTGCTGCAGGTTCGAGGTGCTGGAAGAAGATCATGATGCTGCCGGACACCTGCAGTGCAAGCCGGATGGGAATCTCTTCTTGGGCGGGGATATGCCGCCGACTCATGGGTCTCATGGCTGTATCTATGGCACATGACACAGATGTGTGGACTGAAGGCCTTCATGAACAAGTAGAGGTCAATCGTTGCCATGTCCATCGTCAAGCGGTTCATGATGCGGCCCACCGGCTGCTTGTCGAAGAAGCGATCCTATATCATGAGCAGCCTCTTTTCGAAGTGTACTCGGGGGTATTTAGCAGCTGGCTAGCACTGTACATGCCTTGAATGACCATGTGCAACAACTGCACCCTCAACCTCCCTACGTCTGACATATAGCCCGGCCGCATGCAGTTGCAAAGGGTACTCCGCCCCATTCGAGCTAGTAGCGAGCCCAACTGAAATGGGCAGAAACATCCCTCACGTCTCAATCGATGCATGAGGATTTCGTTTTTCACCGACTTGGATAAGCTATGTATGAGACAATGCTCTCATTTCCCTCCTGGGGTGACTCACGCCTGCCCTGCACACGTTCAACAAGTTCACCACTTGCTCTGACCAATTTCTGGCTCAAACTGACACGTGCTTCCCAAGCAGCGATGGGGGCATGGAGCAGCTGGTGCACCACATTTCCTGACAATTGTAGCGTCTTGGCTGTCTGCTTCATTACCAGACCGGCTTCCGCCCATGCGGGTTAGACCCGAGCATCAAGTGGACTTAGGAAGCGGATTCAGATGGGGTGACATCCTCACACCTCGTTGTGCTGCCGAGTCTAGCACTCTGTTCGGGACATCACACCCACAAACTGCCAATGAGAGCTTCTTGCAAAAAAAACGTGCTAGTACGGAACATCACGAGGACTAGACTGAAATGGCTCAAAAGCAGAACAAGACATGTCTTCGGAGGACCAATTTTGGCAACCTGGTTCCGAGATTCTTGTCGAAAGAAAACACGTTATCCACCGAAGTGCTGTAGCTTCATGACGTGACCGCATCTGCCAAACAGCCGGGGTGCCATGCATGAAGTGCGAGATTCGCAAGGAAAAGCCTCCACAGTGCGAGAGTCACGTTGACATGTGCTTTGCTTCCAGTACCTCTAAGGGACATTGCCACTGACATTGCCAGGCTCGTTGGCACAGTTGCACCCAAAGCTACCCATGCAACCATCTGCAAGCGTTTGCAGCTGCACGCATGTCCGAACCTGCTTTCCCTGCGACATGTATTCTGTTGGCCGCCCGCACCTGCCCCGTAGATCCAGCCGATGTACAGCCCAGAGATGCCCATGACCATCCAGAACCTGGATGCCAAGATGAGGCGACGTCTTCTTGTTCGCGGAGCTTCGGTCGGTCCACAGAGTAGGGCGAGAAATCGGACATCTAGGAAGGTTGCTTTCAGGAAAGGTTTCGTGATCGTTGTATTTTGCTGGCTGGTTTGCTATAGGTGTGCAATGTCTCAGGATTCCTCACCCCCACCCCCTGTAAGGCTGAGCAAGACCATTACAGCATGATGAAAGTTCCGAACCAAGTTTTCAGAGTGGGACCGAAGGCGAGCACCGGGATTCGCACAATGGGCTATGGACTCGCACCGCAGCGCCAGATTCGTGCACTGCTGTACGCACGAGCGCAGCAGATTGGCGCAGAAGGGATTCCCGCACCGGAGTGGGGATGATTCACACGGGCATCCATGTATATAAGGCTTTGGGATTCGGATTCAGGGATTCAAGCTACAGTATGAGGCACAAGGAACGAACAGACCACGAGATCGCGAGCGCGAAAGCCGAAGAGGAGGCCCCAAACCCGAAACCCTTCAAGGAGATGGTGAAATGGTGCTGATGGTTCCAGTGCTTGAAACCGGCTGTAGACGAGAAGTGGCAAGAGAACCAGGGATCAACAAAAGACTGCTCCACCTGCTCCACTACCCACCTCCTACGAGTATCTTCGTGGTGAAATCATCACAAACATGGTAACAGCCGAGCCGGCAGTCGTTGCGATGGTGGCGGATGTGGCAATAGCGAGACAGATACTTGCACTGGTCGTCGTCGCCGTCGTCGCGGTCCTGGTCTTCTCGTCCTTGTCGTCGAGGCAGAATCCGCATCGTCTTTGGTGACGACGACGACGACATGCAGGTAAGTGATAAAGGGAGACCGCCTTTCGAAGTGTTGTTGGCAATCAGGTCGAAAAAGGTATTGCTGGAGTACTTCGGTCGCAGCAAAGCCGCAAAAACAACGACGACCGCAACAACAGCAAAAGCAACGAGAAGAGCAAACCTTCGACCGGGCCTCCGTCCAGCATTTGGTTGGCAGGGACATGCAAGCAACGGTGGACGGGGACTTGCTTAAACTTCCACCAGCAAGCAACAAGAAGCAGCAACCCTCGCAAGGGCCCTGGCAGGTAGCCACCAAAGTACGGCCCGGTCGCCTCGGGCGCCATGTGTGCAAAAGAGAAGGTGAAGGTAAGCCTGCGAAGCCTCACGAGCCTCACTTTCCATTCTCAGTAGAGGAACTACACTAGTGAGCACTTGCTTCCAGGACACCACAGTCGGGTCCAGCGCCAGGGCATTGGTGCAATTGGCAAGGGAGATGTCGCAAAGCCTCGGCATGAAGCAGGCACCTTAACGCCTGAAGCTGCTGTGCTTTTTAGCACAAGTCACGACTCCTTACTGCTAGTGCCAAAATCCCTTCATGCTGGCGGCAAGAAGATGAAGAGCACCATGGAATAGAAGATCATCGCATTGACCATGTTCCTGCTTGCAGCCGCACGAGCCATGGAGTGGGCGAGAGTGCTTGGAGGTTCATGGGTAGTTATAAGTGGGATTATAAGTCCCCTAATATGGGTTATAAGTATAGTTACCCTACTTATAACCCTACTTGTAACTACCCATGAACCTCCAAGTGGTGGTTTGCTTGCACTCAGCTAGCAGATTACCGCAGACACTGAGGACATGACGGGACTTTTGTGACTGCCCCACTTCAAGCCATGGCCGGTCGAAGGAAAGGTCAACACTGTCACCGCCCACCTCCATCTGCCGACGTCGATGTACCTCTTCGCCATCTCCCAAGTCGGACGGCCTGCGTCGAAGGTGTACAAGTCCGAAGCGGCAGCATCTCAGGTGTGCTACGTGTACGGCACAGGCTCTGCGGATCGACAGCGGCTTCAACGTGCAACTCGCAAGCAGTTTCGAAGCACCGGCGGCCTTCGGCTTCGCCTTGGATGTGAAAGTAGAGATGAGAAAAAGCGCATTTTCTCGAACAAAAAGGCAAATCAGTGGACCTGAACAGCGCCCAGGAGTACCAAAACGTCCCTTTCCCTCCACACGTCAAGTTCGGTTTTTGACTGAGCGGCTCTCGCGCAGACTCGTCGCCGGGACCGGGGCCGGAGCTCCGGCAGTGGCTGGGCGCTGTTCCTCGCAGCTCACGAGGAAGCTAAAGTATCCTAAAGTCTAGGGGTGCAGGTACATTCATCTAGGAAGGGGTGGCTGGATTGTGCCAATGATGCCAGCCGGCGAATGGCGGCCCGCTCAAGCTGCGAGGAAAACGGTATTGACCGAGCGGTTGGAGCGACAAGCCAGACGTACAAATGTGGCAGAAAGCTGAACTAGTTGCACTAGGAAGATCGGGAAAATGGGATCGTTAGTTGGTCCTTGGCAGTCTTGGTCCCGACCGGTGTCACCTCCATAGTGTCCTGCATAGCAAGGCACAGAACGGAATGTGGAGGCGCGCATCTCGCATCATTTCGCGAAGCGGGAGAGCAGAGGCAGAGAGCTGCAACTTTTGCGGGCTGCGCGCTCAAAACTTACACCGCAGAACACCGCCGTCGAGATTAGGAGCCCTCGAAAGCACCGAAAAACTCCATAGGTTGCCGCTCAGAGCTCAGAGCGACGCTCAGAGCTGGAAGTTGGGCGTAGACTTGGAGATGGCCAACTCCTCCTCGTTCCTGGGCTGCGCATATTCTGCTGCTTTGTGTAAACAGAAGTTGAGAAAAAAAGCGGGCCTTGATCTTCTGAGGAATGGAAAGGAACAAACAAGGCAGTTGCTGAGAGCTTTCGAGGTTCATGTCGGCGCTGATGGAAGCGAAGAGCGGGGTGGAGAGATAGCGCTCGCCGGTGTCGGCCAACATGGCGACCAGCACCGAGCCCTCGGGCGCCTTCTTGGCCATCTCAACCGCTGCATACATGGAGGCTCCACCAGAAATTCCGGTGAAGATGCCCTGTGTTTTGGCCAAGGCCTGGGACATCTCAATCGCAGCCTGTCCTGGGATTGGGATGAACTCGTCATAGCCGGTCTCCAAAATGCCCTTCTCTGCAATCTGCGGGATGAAATCCGGAGTCCAGCCCTGGATCGGGTGGGGCTTGAAGGCCGGATGGGAGCCGGTAGCAGATCCATCTGGGTTGCGCTCAGTCTTTGTGCCTGAAGCCACGAGTGGGGCATCGGCAGGCTCGCCCAAGCAGATCTTCACGTCCGGCCTCTTCTCCTGGGATGCAGACAAAACACAGACACGCAAACACGAAAGAAACACCAGCTGATTCGTCGCTCCTTGATGGCCTTCCCAGCTCCAGAGAAGGTGCCGCCGGTGCCATAGCCCAGGACGTAGTAGTCCAGCTTCATCCCCTCGAAATCGTTCACAATCTCCTGGCCCGTGGTCTTGTAGTGGAACTCTGCATTCGCCTCGTTCTCGAACTGCCGGCAAAGGAACCTCAGCCGGCTCGTGACAACGGCAGCTGAACAGCCTTTGTCGGAGCCCTGCAGTTCACACAGGTCGATGGCATGAGCTGCTTTCAGGCTTCCTCCTCTTGACAGCAGTCAGTTGAAGCGAAGCCTTGACTAGTCTCCCCCAGCTGATCTGTGGAGCCCAGAAACCAGCCGTGCTTCTCTGCCAGCTCCTTCGCCTTCGCCACCATGCCGGTTCCTTTTCCCGCCTTGGGGGTGATGATCACCTGCGAGCAATCATGTCAACTATGACTATGAGCCATAGCTCAATTTCCGAAAGCCTTGGCCCCCATGAAGCGCATCAGCTTGCGGCGCTCGATGGAGAAGGGCTCTGCCATGGTAATGACACACCTTTGGAGCTTCAAGCCGTGATCACCCTGTCACGAAGTTATGTCAGCTATGTTCGCCATCGGCTTCGTTTTTGCTGAGGGACTTGTATCCGCGCTGGGCGCACAACATCGCCACGGCAATCCCGGTGTTGCCCGAAGTGGCCTTGACATTGACAGGCATGATCATGAGCTGGCATGCCAGCGACGACATCGCGAGTTGACAGATTGACACTCTCGCAACTCGGACAAGCCTGACGCGGTCTCTGGCGAAGCACTTTGACCGGTCGGCTGAAGGTTGGTGACACTCAGTGAAACGATTTGAGTTTTGAGGTTCTGTGACGAGTACTCCTGAGCCGAGGCGAGTTCACTTCCTGCTACAGGGCCGGGGCACCTCGATGACCGTGTCGCCAGGCTTGAGCTGGCCCTTCTTCTCGGCATCCTCGGTGTGTTTGGCTCTGAGCTCTGCACAGGACAGAAAAGTCGAAAGTCGCATAGTCGCATCGTTTCCGTTTCCACGCCCGGCCTCAATGATGGCGCAGGCCAGCCGATCCTTCACCTGGCATCGCCGATACAATGTGCAAGTAGCATCACTAACGCTCGCTGGGCGTTTGCATCGGGCCGAGAGACGCTGGAAAGCGGGTTGAAATACTCCAGCTTGGCATAGATCGTGCGCCCTTTTGGGCAGATCTCGTCAGAGATCTTCACGCAAGGCGTGTTTCCAACAGTTTCCTTTGCATCTCAGGGCTGTCATGCGCTTTGTAATGGCCACCCGGCTGGCAGATTGATGCACCCGATCAGCTGGATCTGCCGAAGCAGCGGCACTGCTTGCATGTCAAGTTTCTGTAATGTTGGCGTACACACGACCTGGACGTCTGAGGTGGAAAACGCGGGCACATCTTCAAATTCCAGCACAGCGCAGTCAAAGACTCCCCCTCCGAACCCTGGATTCCTCGAGCCTCGTCCTTTGCCGCGGTCGGCAAGGCCCGCAGCGACGGGCGCTGAGGCAGTAAGGCCAGCGAAGCACGACATGATGTGGCCTCACCGCATCTCACAACAGTCACGTTCCAATACCACCCTCGCGATGCTGCAGCAGGCCCAGAGAAGCCAAGTAAGGCGCCAGCGGAGAAGCGGTCACAAAAAACCTTCCTGAGTTCTCAGGACCCTCGCCAGATGTGCGATCAGCATTTTCACTTGACGACTTCTAACTCATCATAGCCATCCTTGCTCGCTGTTAGACAAGGACGGAAAGCAGCCGTGCTACAATCTGGGAGTCTTCGCCAACGCATGGCTTGCCATCCGAGGAGCGGCGGGAGAACTCACGGTTGTTGGGGCAGTGCGCGGCCAGGGTTTGTGCCCAAATTGGGCCGAAATCCATAATGAAGAGAAGGCAGCGGTGTGGGGATGGGAGGGAGGCCCGACGAGATGAAGGGCGTAAAATCCCCTGTTAAAAATCGATTTGATGCATTGCGAGCTAATGTGAGTGAGGCAGCAGCACCGCAAGCAAGGCATACAGAGCAGGGCACTCCTTTGTTCAGCGGCCTCTTTCGATAAGCGAATGGGTCACAATTCTTTCCCATTTTCTGCTCACCCGGCAGCCCTGTAGGACAGGGTCCGCCTGTTGGCATGACACACCTTGGGCATGACAGTCTGCGAAGCTTACTGCTCCATAACGCCGTGGACCGCCCCACGGGCTTTGAGCCAGACCTCGCATATCCACGTGTGATCGTTCGTCGCACATGCTACTGACTGACAACATGTTACCTGCAAGGATGCGTCTCTACAATACATGAAGCCTCCCGGCCGACTCTCTTCCGTCCCTTTCGAAATCATTAACCTGGCACAAGCCCTCGATAATTTCACTTTGCATCTCTCCATCCCACCTCGGTGTCGGTCTGCTCGCAATCAACGGCAAAGTCCAGCGGAGTGGCACCATCTGTGCGCTGGCAGTTCCTGGCACACGCATGCATATATAGCACATGGGCATGCCGGCCCGCTCGGGCTCATCCCCTGAAAGTCGCCAGCAGAGCAAGTCTGCGCCAGCTGAGTGCAGGATGGAAAGGGCCTCGACCTGACGGCCGGTGGTAGATTTCGGCATCAAGACACGGAGAGTCAGACTCATCACTCCATCCTGCGGCAGAAAACCCTCAAAAAACACAAGCATCTGCAGGGAGGTTCCTGTAGGATGAGAGGCGGAGGCGGGCCTTGCCTGACCGCTGATGGCGGCCACATGGGCAGGGCACAGCGCCGTGGAGACGCTACCGTCCTTCCCGGCTGTGTCTCACAAGTCACTGCATACACCAAAGAGAAGGAATGCTTCTACACAAATCTGCAGGCAAACGACCTCGGCAAGCTCCAGCGCTGGAGCTGTGGGCGCGTTGACGTCTGCACCTGGTATGGCCACCGCAGGTTTCCTGGAGCTCCCGCTCCCGTGCAAAGCCTGCACTGGGGACTCAGGCCGAGGCCGTTCAGCACAAGCCTCAGAATAAAGAACATGTGCCAGGATCAAGAACGAATGCACTCGGGAGCTGGTTAGTGGCCAGCGAGCTTTGGACGCAAGCGATGACTAAGTGTCAAGCAATACCAAGCAGCTGTAAGAAGCTCGAAAGTCACAGTGTCACAGCTGCACTGACAACTTCATCCTGAACCAACTACCAGAACCGGCTTTATGCGCACTAAGCCCCAGGCTCGAAACCCTGCAAACTACAAAAATCCAGGCAATCGGGAAGCCGGGCGGCCAGCGCAAGTTCTGGGGTTTCAGCACCGCCGCATGGGCCGCCCGCTCGCCGCTGCCCCGCAGAGGCGCATCCAGGAGGCCCCGAAGGCCCGTCTGCAGTGACAGGCGAGGCTGGATTGGATCGGACAGTTCAAGGCGTTCGGTGTTAGAGTTTCCAACTCAGGAACCAGGAATGCACATGGCACGCCTACCCTGGTGCAGTGTGTGTACACTTGTCTAAGCTGCTCTGAGCTGCTTGGAAACGATTGAAATTCTGAGTTCGGCGGCGGCGGCGCAGCTAAATTGACTTGAGCAAGGGCCAAGCCTTCGCCTGCACCTTCTGGCAGAGGCCCTGCCGGAGAATGCACCGAGATGTGTCTGAAACTTTCGGAGTGTACTCGGCAGGGCGGGCACCACATGTCTCTTGCGGCGCCTGGTACGCTCGAAGCACTGTGGTGTCTCCGTCGGGCGCATGCACGAAGGCTTCGTGCAGCTTCTCCACGACCGCACGTGGAAAGCCTGACCTCCGGGGAGGCAAGAAGCAGTTTCTCCGAACTCAATACAATGAGTGGATTGAGGCTCCTGGTGCGGTGCAACTATGCCGCAAGCAGCAAGCTCGAAACAAAAATATTGACGCCCTTGTGTCGCTATGTTGGCAATATGTTCGGGTCGAGCATCGCTTTCTCAAAGCCAGGATCATCGTAGAAAGGCCGACCATGGTCCGTCTCTCCACCTCAAGATTGCAAGATGTGAAGCAGAAAATCCTAGCTGAAAACCTGTTGAACCGGCATCCAGATCAACCTGCAGGGATCCGATGTGGGCCCCGGACGCTTCTTCCGCCAATCAGCTAGGCTCATCTGCCTGGGATTCCTGCAAGCAAGTCTTTACCTTTACTAAAGCCAAGCACTGTGTCGCACATCCAATTGGAGGTACCAGGTACCATACAGCACAGTGTTCGGTCCGCACAAATGAATTTCATCGGCAATTCTCTGCGAAGCCTCGATGCCCACCAATCTGGTCCGTAGGAAATGAACAGCTCCTGTTGCTGTAATGTTGTGCTGCAGACGCGAGGGTTGAGTGTCAGCTTAACTTCGCCACCAGGCACCCATCCCCGAAAGCTGCTTGCGACCTTGCTCACACACAGCGGGTCCTCGCCAGCTTTGATATCCCGCAATGCCGCAAAGCAACCTTGGAAGCGATCCGACTTGCCACCAGACCTGCTATCTGAACAGCAAACCTTCGTTCACGCCCAGCTCCCGCAATTCCCATAAACCCCGCACCTTGGCGTTCCTAACATGTTTTGTCGGATACCACATTGCGTATGGAGAACTCATGGCTCGCCCTAAACCATCAAGTTCAAGGTGCTCATCAGCTGCAGCGTCCGCGGTCCGGCGACTTTGGCCGGGCCTTGTCGGGGATACGATGACAGGTGTACATGAACATCAGGAAAGTCAATCTTGTTTGGTCAGGAAATTTTCACTGTGCGACCCAATTCGTCAGGAGCCTAGGCCGGCTCTCTCTCATTGGTCGTATACCCTTGTGGATGTGATGCTGAAAGCCACATGCTCAGACAAGCGGCGAAACTCCACGTTTGGGGTATCTGAGTGGTTGAAGACGCTGCCCAAGCCCAGCGCCAGCTTAAGGCCAAGAGGCCTCGCTGTTGGCTCCTGATGACGTTCTCAATCTTGCACGTGCAATGATTGTCGTGCCGTTGCTTCTGCTGCCTGCCTGGGCTTGTTTGCTACCGTGGCATGCCTTTGGCTTTGAGGCCATGCTTGCAACTCAAGCCATTCAAGCACCAGCTCCTGATCGCCGTGTGCGCTGAAGCGGTGGTCAGCCAGGCAGTTGCCCAGGTCCCAGCGGCTCAGAAAAAGAGTCCTCAGCTCGGGTACATGCGTCCAAAGCCACACACAAACTTGCTGCACGCCGGTTATAAAAAGCCCCAGTGTCGGAGCCAACTCTACCAGCTCTCCGGGGGCGAGGTCGCGGACAGCGAAAACGCCGCAGCCGTGGATGCTGGAGAAATCCACCTGCACTCGGTCGACGAAGAGCTTCGAAGGCAAGGCTTCCCCGTCGAGGTCCGAGCCTGACTGTAGGCATCTCTCGCGGAAGTAATTATTCCCCTACAGTAAAGTAACCCCGCCAATTCATTCGTAATTAAAAGTACCACCCGTCGTCGGGCCTGGCTCGGCCTGCGGCAGCTGCAGGCCCTGAGCTTCGAAGGCAGAGAGAGACCAGTTCACCACGTCGACGTGCTCGTCCGGGACGGCCGCAGACCGGCAAACGCGCAGCTCGGTGCCCGCTGCCACAGCAGAGGATGTTCGCAGGCATAGGTGATGCAAGGCCGCCCCATCGCGCTCCAGTACTTCCAAGCTCCAAGCCACGTTGGCTTGATCTTGCGATGCATCTGCATAAAGCATTCCCCATCCAAGAGGAAAGTGCAGGCAGCCATCACCAACGTCGAACAACCGTTGCTGCAATACTTCTGAAGGAATGTCGACAGACTTGAGGGGTATGGAGTAGCAACGCTCAACTAAAGCACCCTCCTCGAGTGGTTCTTCCGCAAAGACTCCCATGCGACCTCCCTGCTCATGCCACGATAGCGCTGCCACACAGGCAGCTGCGCTGCTTGCTGCAGCCATGGCATGGAGTTACATGAATTTACAATGACATACCCAGACAGTCCAAGTCTGTTCCGAAATCGTTCTCGGGTTCTTGTATCCACTACTGGCACAACGCGCCCCCGGTGGGTTCGGATGCTGTGCGAGACTATCCTCCCCCCAAACTGCGAGCGATTCTTTTGAACCATTACGGCTCGGCCCTCAGAGCCCCAGCACAGGCGTAAAAGCCTAGCAAAACAGCCTATGTCGTGTGCACGGAAGACCTGCGAAGCTCTCTCGACCGTTCGCGGAGGCGGCAAGGCAAGGATCCCCTGCACCTACCATCCTATACTCTAAGATCGCCGTCTTCTTCCCTGGTCCTCCAACGCGCTGCTTCGGAGGAGCTGCTTGAATTCTTCCTCAGCCGCGTCTGCACGAGACTGAGGCACCAGATGCAGTGGACACCGTCCGGAAGTGAGGGCCATGTCCATGACAGATCGTAACGCACACGCTCCCGTCTGGCTTTTGAGGTTGACTGCCAGCATGGCAAAGTAGTGACACATCAGTGGGATGCTGAGGGCAACACCGTCTCAGCGACCTCAAAGGCAGTTCGGATGAAAGTTATGTGCGCAAACTTTGGGCTTATGCACATGCGGGAATCTGCCTCTGTGTACCTCTAGGTTCTACCCAGGCGAACCCTCACAGCAGAAGTAGCTAGCATACAGTACTGAGACCTGCAGAGCTGGCTGTCTTTGGCAGGTCCCAGGTACTCATGGAACTTACCGAGATTGCTGGTGCTGGGACCCCTTCCTCGCTGGGCTTACCGGAGGCGACGATGCGGCCTCTTGACATGACCTCGACAAGGCAATCGGAAGAGGCCAAGATGGCGAAGGATCTGTATTTTAGTGATCAGTGGCCATGATCGTCTGGTAGATGCTTTCAGAGTAAGCTCGGCACGAACACGCGATCAAACTTTCTGAGGCGCTCCTCGGCTTCAGGCACTCCGCGCTTTGCGCTTGGGAGGCCAGGAGCAAGAGCCCGGCGAGCCCGGGCTTCCGTCAGTTGCAGCTGAGCATCGACTTCGGGCTGCAAGGCCACGATACGAGCCCGATCTTTCAGCAGAGGGCCGCAGAGCAGATCCTGCACCGGCAGTCCCACAGCAGATTCCAAGAGTCGAACATCGCAGCCTTCAGTCGGAAGCAAGTCCGTGGGCAGATTTTGCTCTGCTGGGGCCTCCAAGATGCCCAAGGCTGTCGGAGCATCGACGGAGCCGAAAGGATCCTTGGCGAGCGGGAGCTGGGAGCTGTTGGGCTGACGGAAAGGCTGAGAGAGGAGGCCCAGGAGACATGACTGGTGGCCTTCACGTGGAAAACAAAGACAGACGGCCCTACGTTGACATGATGATGTATTGCTGAGCGGCATCGAGAAGCACCAGCTCCTTAGTTGAAGTTTATGGTCTCCGGTCTCCGCTGACACCAACCCTCGTCTTCGGCAGCTAGCATATCTGTATGAATGAAATGGCGGAACAAGTGAAAGTGACTGGCGCTGTGGACCACAGAGGTCCCTGCAATGCTGAAGCCATACTTTCCGGGAACTCTCTAAACAAAAGGCCATCCTAAAGACTATAGCCTCGTTCCAACGGACACTCCGACGTCTTCAGGTTTCTACTCCCGATGGGGCACAGCTTTTTCATTGTATGCTGATCTCGCCAGTGAAAGACGTGCTCTTTGACCGCCAGACAAACCTCAACGGCAGCTGCCCAGACATGAAGTGAGATAGCTGCTGCAAGCATGTCGTGATTCATACGCAGTGCGCGAAGAAAGGGCCCCTGTGCCCTTCAAAGACAGCGAGTGGCTGATGCCACGAGCACCAATGAAAGCTTCGTCTCCACCTGCACAGCATAGCAACAAGAGCCACAGGCACTAGACAGGAAAGCGCAGTAGTACAGTATCAAACCTGATTCAAAACAAGCACCTGAAACTTGGGCCACCCACACTTGGGTCAGGCTGAGCTTTGCCCGGACTCCCTTATTCTTGCTCAACCGAGTATTCAATATGACATCCGTGTCGCCACTCGTGCCCATGTCGAGCCTGGCAGGAGCTTTAGGTCGCTCTCGAGGCCGGCAGCAGCGACGGCCTGTCGATACCTCTCCTGCAAGTGCTGCACATGTCGAGGAGGCTCGGGATCTACAAGTGGGCACTCACCGTGGCCTCGTTGAATTCCTGACCAAACACCACGTTGTCCCGAACGGTGCCCTCCGCGATGTGGGGCACTTGGGCACCTCAGATGTGTCGCAGTCTGAGATTGAATCTGGCATGAAATGAATGAAGTGTCTCTGACTTGAAACATGCGTAAGCGTCGTAAAGCAAGTTTGTTTCCTGTCCGCCCGAGATGTGAAACTGCCACAAGTTGAGGCCAGGTGCCAGACACGCTCACATTAAGCCTGACGTGGTCTGCCTCATAATGCCTAAGCCGCGAGCTGTACCCGCACACATGCGGCCGAGACAGGAAGGCCTTCTCTTCCTCGGTCAGACTGGGCATTCCCAACTTCTGCACCCTGCTACTGCCTGCATACATTGCTTCGCCATGGTTGTGAACACGAAGCATAAAAGCCGACGGATGTGTACAGAGCAACACACAAGTACTCGTACGAACACACAAACTGCGTACGAATATCTCTCTCTTTCTTTCTGCCGCGCTTAGTGGTCGTCTAGCGACTGAGGCCATCGGCCGGCCTTTCTCTCTTCTTCTTCGCCAGGGCTATGGCGCAGGGGCTTTCCCTACATCATCCTACATCTCTCTCTCTCTCTGTCTCTCTCTTGCTTGCTTGCTTGCAAGGCTGTGCGGGAATGGCGGGGGTGAGAAACGAGTACAATCTCTCCATCGGGCTACAGCCATAAAGTATACTGAAGAGGAGATATGTGTTCTCTCCACAGAAATTTGTCCACTGGCATAGGCTGGCTCAATGCGGGATTTATAGGAGAGACAAGAACGTACTTGCTTTGTGGCCGTTCCCCCAGAGCTGAGGTGACAATTGCAGTTCATCTGTCGACATGCAACAGCTGAGTCCCCTCTCACCAGTATCAACACCGTTCACAAGCCACCATAAGCCCACAACGTAAGACATCTCTGGATTCAGATTTGCACTCACCATGTTGGAAGGTCACACACGCGGCATCGGACATGTTTTACTCTATCTGCCTCTTGTGGTAGCGAAACAATGACACAGCAAAGACGATGCCCCTACAGCGAAGAGCTGTGTGGTGTTCTGTCGAGGCATTTCGAGTAGTAATGATGTCCCCCGTTCACTGCAGACTTGAACGGCCTAAAATGGACCCCATCGTATCGATTTCTTTGCCTCTCTCTCCCTCTCTCTCGGGGGAGCTGCGAGGGGAAGGCCCAGCCCCATGATGGGTTTTTTTGGGGTTTGGGGGGGAAAAAGGGGGAAAGGAGAGTTCGCTCAGAGTGTATGAGGCTCCACGGGATTCAGAGATACAGAGAACACAGGCTGCCTACATAGGTGCTCTCTGATATTCAGCAGCCCAGTGGCCGAGGCAGGATGAAGCTCTCCGAGAGCGGCTTCCAGAAGCAAGCTTTTCCTTCCGAACCAAGTATGTAGCAGCAGGGCTTCATTCGGGATTTTCATAGGTCAGCTTCGACCGTCTTGTCATTGTTCGTGGCATATCTGTCGCTTGAAAAGGTGGGCAAGAATTTCCAGATACAGAGAATCGTTTCGCTGCTGATGCTCTGTGTTCACACCCAAGGTTTGGAAGTCCACAGGTCAACGGCACCAGAAGCTGAGAAGATGCTGGTCTGAAGGCCTCAAGGCTCGTCCGCCTATGGACGGAGTGCGATCCAGCGCATCCGAGGGTAGTTAAGGGTAGGAAGAATATGTGGTCCCGTCTTGGCTTGCCACATCCAAGTCGTGCGGCTTCGAGGAAGCAAGACAAAACTTCCCAGCATCTCCAGACGGATTCCTTTTAATATAACACACACACATAATACATGTGTGTGTATATATATATATATATATATATATATATTAATATTAATATTAATATTAATATTAATATAAATATTAATATTAATAATAATATTAATATACATATATACATATATGTATAATTAATTCATTAATTAATATATATATATATATATATATATATATATATATATATGTCTATATATATATATATATATGCGTGTGTGTAGAGGTGTGTATGTGTTTATGTATTTATGTATACAAGAAAACCTGAAGCACCGAAGTTGCAATAACCGACAGGGGACCCAGATCCGACGCCGCCCACGAGCGCGACCATTTCCTGGGGATCTGCCCAGCTCGTGAGCTTCCCAGCGACTCGAAATCTCGGACTTCAGAACAGCAGCGAACCAGAAAACTACTTTGGGAGCTCTGCGTAGAACAAGTTGCCGGAGTTGTGCCTCTGAGCTTCCGAATTTAAAATGGAGCGACCACCTTGCGAAAGCTCACGAGTACTAGATACAGCCCACAGGGGCCCAAAGGGAACTCCGTGCCCTGACAACAGTTCACGTCCAGCTGCACCCTTCTTCACCTCCAGATTGAGGTCGTGCAATGCCTTGGTCCATTGACGATGCTGACTTGGCCGATGCTCGGGTTAGCCCCCCAGCTCCCGTCCCAACGCGCAAGATGTGATGAACCGCCTTCCGAGCCACCACCTCCGAAGGCTTCTCGCGGCAGAAGAGGTAGCTACCGCGGATCTTGAAGCTGGGCTGTGCGCCTCCGTCACCTTGGCTTGTTGTGGGAACCCACCCTCTGGTGAGTGAGCGCCTTTTCGAGACGTGGCTTCGCTGTGAGCTGAGGTCGGGGCTCTGCGTCCTGGGCCAGATGTCCACCCACTTTGGGACACTGACTCCTTTTCAAGAAATCTTCTCTGCAAGTGGCTACTGAAAACAACTGCGAACACTTCAACTGCAAGTCAGCAAACCCAGGAAGATGCTTACAGACGATTCTCCTGGGAGAACCGGTGCTTCTTCCTGCTTCAGATAGTTCTCCACGCGGATCTTGGCAAGGGGGGCAAAATTCCCAGAAGCCTACTCCTTTAAACCTTGGTAAGTTCTGTTTACTTGCTGCTCAGACTTGACATTCTGCCAGTTACGTCCTAGCCCTAGCCCCATCGTGCCACACGCTTGCCACAGGGCCCCGGCGGCACTGATGCGGACGGTGATGAGACGCTGAATGCCTCCAGACAGCGTCGAGCTCTCCGCCCTGCAGCCAGGTCACGGTCGGGACTGTCGAACTGCGTAAGAACAGTGTAAGAACATGTAAGAACGATATCAAGCTTCACCCGGAGAACCACAACAGGGCAGATGGAGGCTGCGTCTTCCGATTTAAAAAATACCCTGGTTGATGCTTGGAGAATGCCCTGTTGGGCCCTCCGGAGGCTTGATTGAAGTGCTTCAGGGGTTCTCCTTCCTCAGTCGTACCTGAGCAATTCTGATCCACTCACTCACCGTTGGGGCGTCGAGGCTCTCTCTCGCTCTCTCGCGCGGGCTGGCTTGCTGGCTGAAGTGTTATTGCGAGTCTCTTATGGGGATCGCGAGCCTCAAAGAAGCCAGGATCTGCAAGCAAGCGAAGATCGAGGCCAGGTCGCTGCTGCCGTACCTTTGAGACTCCTTCTCAGCTTCTACCGCACTCTTGGCTCTGTCCATGCTCTTGCAACATTGAGTGTTGTTCAAGCAAGCAGCTGTGGCCGTGCTAGAGTAAATGTGGGCCTGTGAGGGCTAGAGTCCTAGAGTAAAGGGTGCTGCGCGTCAGTCGCAAAAGTACCTCACAATCTCAAAGCTCAAACAGGAATAACGGCATCTCGGGAAAGGGAGAAGAGACAGGAAAGTGCGTGACCCTCTAGTTTTTGTGCAAAAACTTGACATCTCAGCTTTTCTCTAAACCTGTAGCTAACTGGTCTTGGCATGTTCCACGTAACAGCCAACCACCACCAAGTAGCAGGTGCAGGAAGCCCCAAAGACCAGCAGCTGTCAGCAACCTGTCGCAGGAAGTCACATCTCGTTTCAGCTCGTGACACTGCAGCGACCACCGCTGGCAGAAATATCCGGAAATGAGGATGTTCAGGCTCAGGCTTCCTCCGTTGAGAAGGCGCTTGGATTCAGGTGCCGGTGCCCTTTCCGGCTTACCTAGACTATGCACACCTGGCGAATATCTTGGATGCTTCATTTGCGAAGTGCCTGTTCCATGCATGTTTCATGCTGATGGAGAAGCCAAGTATGGGCTGTTACACTGGTGAAAACTGCTCATAGTAGCAAGCGTACAGCATCTCTGAACTGCGAGGCCGAAAAATGCCGACATGGAACAAGCTCACTCCCACACATCACCACTCGATCTCGGCCGGCCTCGGAAAGAGATTGAAGAGAACGACGAAATGGCTGCCTCGGCAGTAGCTATCGGGCATGAACCATTCTGTCGACCCATGCCCCTGCATGCCACGCAAAAAAATCGCACGCTACTCCAAGCCAAGGTGCAAAGCCTGAAGTAGACTCCCAGCATGGACAACTCTCTGCCACGAATCCTCTTGATCTGTTCCTGCCAAGATCAGAGACTCCGAACGATTCTTTCAGGGATGTCTCTGGTCGACGGAGTGAGAGTCGGCCTCCATCGCGGACTCCCAGGCATAACACTTGACGATGCGAATGCCCTTCAAGACTTCTCGGAGCAAGTAGACGCCTTAGCTAAAACTTGCTGGGCCATCGCTTGAACTTCAGTCGCAGAAACTCTGACGATCAGGGGCTGCAATTTTCCTGGACGTGTTGCACGCTCTCAAGGTGAAACAGCTCCCCCTGTCGTTGAGGGCAAACCCCAAATATGCCAAGGGGCGCTTGTCCTGAACATCCTGCAACTGCATCATGTTGATCCCCATCGCTCCGCTGAGGATCACCGACACGGTGAGGGCTGAAAGGGGTCAGCTCTGAGACTTCCGAAACTCCGAAGAAGCTACTGACTACTGCACTGCGCAGAGGCATGCACGCCCAATACGTTTCCCCACAACATTGCTGTGAACCTCCGGACATCCCGAAGCGAGCAGCCGCCTGGGATTGCCACCGCCAGGCAAAAGAGTGTGGCCAAGCGCAGCTTGAAAGCCTCAGCACTTGCACGAATCACTATGCCTGCAGCACAGGGAAGCGATTGCAGGCTGGAACAACTGAAGTAATTCCACCATATACGTTTCGGGTTGACCCGACGCACACCACATGAGATGACGAGGCTTGTCCAACGGCATGCGGGTAAACTTCCTCGCGAATCTGTTTAGGCTGCCGCCGAGTAGCCATGAGCACGAGCAGAACGGCCACTGTCACTGTGGCGTTGATCGTCAAAGACACGTTGAACGTCAGCCTCGACAACAAGGAATGCGGCGGACTGACGAAGTCAGTCTGGAAATATTAGAGCAAGTGAAAGCTCGTGGGCCCGTAAACCTGCCGGTAGAGTTCAAAACCGAGCGGAACCGTGACATCCTGACCCCCGGCTTCACGGCTCGTGCGGCCCGAGGCTCCCATGGAAGTTGCCGATCACGTCATTGTTGATCGTCATCATCGCCTTAAGCACACGTACTTGACGCTGCGAGCAGGCAGGCCTCGCTGAAATTGAGTCAGAGAAGCCCTGTGAAAAGATTAAACCGACATCCAACATGTCTCTACATGATGCAGCTCAAACACATTGGGCTTCTTGGACACCTTCTCGGCCAGTTGGTGTTGGTCCTTCCAGCCCCATTCGGTAACCCGCTGCACATAGCCAAAGCCGAAAGACAAGGCATCGATCGATCGATAAAAAGAGCGACAGTGGGACTCCCGCTCGAAAATGCACAGATGCAACAGACGGCTCAGAAAACTTTAAGACGCCGCAGAACGGTGCTTGGTGCTTTCGGGACGACTCGTGGGCCTCGGATCCGACCGGCTTGTCTTGGCTGAGGACGGATGCCGGCAGACGCTGCGTCTTCCTGGGTCCACCAGCTTGGAAACGCTGTTGAGAGGTCCAGTGGGCTCCCAGGCATTGGGGGATCGGCACATTCAGCGGAAACTATTTCTTGCTTTGGCAAATCGAGCGAGGGCTCTCTTCAGATATCAGACGAGGCACTTGAACATAGCCACGGCCTCGGCTGCAACCAAGTGCTGAGAGGACATCACTAAATTCCCTGAAACGACTGACGGCTGCCGCAGGCTGTTGCTGTGCATCGCAACGTCTCCTGAGACCACTGCCACACCGGCGATGCACTGGTCGAACTTCATAGAAAGGTTGGCTTCCAACCTGTCGACATATCAAGCCGCAGCAGCCTCCAGAAGCCGAAAGCGGTGGGTCAGGAAGAGGCGGCCAAGTCACGAGCACAGGACGGCGAAGACCTCAGGATGCGTTGCAGTCCCCGACCCTCATGGAGAGCAGCAGCCCAAGTCCAAGTGGAGATCTCCAAAAACGGCCGAGGTCCACGCAAGTGGCTGTGCCGAGAAGGCTGCCTCGGTTTCGTGGAGTTGGCGCTCTGCTTTCCGAGCTTTGAAGATCGCGAGCCAAGAGACGATGGACACCAAGATGGGCTTGGTCATGTCCGGGAGTTGGCCGTTGTTCTGATGCACCTCGCGCTTCAAAGGAGGCTTGAGGAACTAGAACTGACGTCTACCTCTGCTGCTGGGCATCACAAGTGTGAAATTCAACTCAGGGAGAATCGCCAAGGGAGCGGGTGGAGAGACTTTCGAGAGCCACTCTAAACCCCAACTGCTCACCCACATGGCGCAGCCTCTTCCTGCAGCCAGAAGAAGTAGCTCAGGGACATCTGAATCAGGAAGACTTGGTACAGATTGCCTTGGCACAATGGAATCATGTTGGCAATGTCTGGACCTACCCCAAAAACAGCACGGGAAACGACATTGTTCACTCGAGCTTCACAAGTTGCCACCAGGCAGCCGAGGACCACATGCACGAAAAGCGACATGTGGAACCAGAACTGGGCACAGAGTTGCGCGGTTGCGAATTCTCGCGAACATCTACCAAGCGATGCTTCTCACTGCAGGCGACCCTGCTGACAATAGCCCTCAAGTAGGCAGGCCACCAGCCGCTGGTACCCCCACAGCTTGCAGACCACTCGGAGTATGCTCGCCTGCGCGGCGTCTTCCGAGAAACCACAGGGCAACGATCGCATACCCCCGTCATGGTCAAATCGAAACAAGTGCATGGCCCACCCTCACAACTTAAGCATGCAAGTCCACTGCCACCTCCTCAAGCTACAGAACCTCCAACAGCTCCTCAAACCTGCTATTGGAAACCAACGGCGGCGCCTCCTCTTGACCACGCGTGCGCACCTCCTCGTCCCAGAGGGCCTCGAATCTCTCGCACTGGCGGAAGGCCTGTGGCAAGATTGGGCTTGGCTCTTCACACACACGAACGGTGTCGTACTCTACCACACTGGGTAAAGATAGGGCGCTTTCGGCAAGCCCACGAAGCTATGGAAAGAGACAGGAAAGGAAGCTGCGCGCAGTGTCTTGTCCCTGCACAAAGCTGGGGGAGTACAAAAGGCATGTCCGCTGAGCAGGCGAGATGAAACAACACAGCTTTGCTCGCATGCAAATTAACCCTTACGTACATACCATACATACCACGCAATACAAGCAAGGCCCCGAACTTCATACAATACTGACAACGCATACAAGCAGACAAAAAGACAGGCAGACAGACACGCATGCCTCAGCAAGATTGTGCTTCTTTGTAAGTTGGCTCACATTTCACACTCATGCGCGGGCAGGTAGGTCGGTAGGTAGGTTGGTCGGTTGGTATAGGCGCAAGTAATGGGTGGGGACCTGGGTGGTTGGGATGGGCGGGATCGATGGGATGTGTGGGACGGGCGGATTGCGAGCTGGCTGGCTGTTGGTTGGCTGGCTTGCAAGGGGGCTTTGTGCACGCGCAGTCAAAGCATTCCAGGATGCCCGTTAAGCAGGTCGGGCTATGGACAAGCACTGGTGACACCATCCGATTCAACTGACAAACACCGGGCCTGGAACTCCGGCCCGTTCACAGGAGGGACCTCGTCCGGGCTGCACTTCGACATCGCACTGTTCCAAGAGTGTCCTGAACAGGGATGTGCAAGCGGTGGTGCACATGCTGAACTCGGCCCCACCAACCTATCTCAGCGCATGCTTGGCAAATGCCGTCGCAACATCTTCCAGCAACGCCGTTGCTACTAGCGTTGCTTGTGCAAGGTTCCTGAGCCCTGATAAACCTAAACTCAAACTCGCCGAGTTCAGCAGTTTGAAACTGCGCACACAATCAAAGAAGCCGTTGTGCCTAGGCGAGCCACCATGGGGCTCAACCAGGTCCTTGATGCACCAGGATGCGCAGATGACGTGCACACAGCTTCACCGGACTTGATGAGTTTGCACGGCAGAGCTCTGCCACCCTCCCCCCTCAGGGCCGAGCACGCACAGCCAACTCAAGTACGAATGGCTCTGCAAAATCTCGTCTTCGGGACAGGTTTCCTTGCAATGCACTGCCGCAGATCAGTCTTGTTGGTGGCATCGAAGGCTTAATTGTGAAACATCTGCATAGTGGCTGGCATGATGTCCGAAAGTTCTCAGCCAGGTTTCCCTTTTGTTATAGCCGGGGAGTGGTGTCCCCTTGCCCACCGGTCGCACGGTCGTCATGTGGTAGTACATGCTGACCTTACATGCACTCGATGCTTGGCGTTGTAGGCTGCCTTCGTGAGATGCTGCATGTCATGTTCTGCTGGCAGCTCCGACAAGTGCTCTGCATTCTTGCTACTACTGGGTGCCCGTGCAACAGAGAAGAAGTAGATTGCAACGTAGATGGACAACAACAGGGTGGCCCTGGCATAACGTTTGCCCAATGAGACTTTACGTAGGACTTGTCAGAGGTCACGAGCAAACCGGCGAGTAATGACACATCTAGGGTTGCTCGCGGGTTCACAAGTCCACAAACCGGCAGGGTCCGCCTAAGCTGCTTCGAATCCGCAAAGAGGAAGGACGTGATCGAGAATGAGGTGTGCTCGACTTCGTTGGAGAGCTCATGCACGGTTCCGAGCCTCAAGCAGGACACGAAAGAGCAGCTGCATGCACAGCCAGATGGCGAATGGCATGCTCTCGGACTTGCCACAGCCATGCCTTCCTACAACATCCCCCTGTCACATCCAAGTCCACGACTGAACCAGCAATGACTTCGTGCCAGAAACCGGCAGCAGGCCCTGGCACCCAAGATGCCATCTTTCTGCAACTTGTTCATACATGACCCGCGGTTTGCTTGGGTTTGGCTCATGTGTTCCAGTCTCCCGTTGGCCAGTGTCACAAGTGAGGCCTACAGATTGATTCAGCCTCCTTGTGGAGCTGCATCAGATGGATTTCAGCATGTGGGCACCGCATGTGGAACTGAAGATGCAGGACCCACCAGTGGCTTCAGCATCTTCGAATACAGGCATCTGACTAGGCCTCCACAAAGCAGCTAGCATTTGGGCGCAGACGCCAGCCTGTGCTGCTTAGCAGTCAGGCCAGGTTCGCACAAAGATGGTCATGCCGTAAACCAACCCATTAAACACAACCAGCCCAAAATCCCAAGAATTCCGAATGTCCAACATGCGAAAGGGCGCGTGCTTGCTGCTGGTTATCACGGCGACTGTGGTTCAGGCTGCCACACGAGCCATCGCATCCCTACCCATTGTGACCATTGCTAAAGTATGCTAAGGTCATGACTCCAGCACTCACGATTACACATGCCACCTCGCTTCTACCAGTACAATTTACCATGATTCGACCGGCACTCACCTTCCTTATGGCGGCCTTCATCAGTCCAACTCTCACAGTTTCTGTGGCCAGGTTGCAACCGGTACTACAGGTGTCTCTGTTGCTATTAGTGGTTGCTATCAGCAGCAGACGTAGCAGCAGCAGCAGCAGCAGCAGCAGTAGCAGCAGAATCAGGAGCAGCAGCAGCAGCAGCAGCAGCACTATCAGCAATCTACATACCATCACTGCTTTAAAAACTGAATGCACTTGTGACCTTTTGTCTTTTGGTCATGGCCGCGATGATCATACGGCTGAATATAGCTCGCGCCTCTCGCTCTTCCTATTTAAGCTTGTAGTGCAACCAGTGCTGTGCCTATGCGTGAGAAGTCTGATTGTTAAATTGCTGGGTGGGGTTGGTACTTATGGTGCTTCTTACGAAGCTGGCTGGATTTTTCGCTGCCGTGTTGCCGTCCATTCCCAAGACTTCGGTCAAGTTCTCCGCTTCCGCGACCTGCCGTTGACGAGAGTTTTGGGCTAGGGCCTAGGAAAGCGGTTTCGACGAGCAAGGAGGCACAGACATGTGCAAGCAACTGCAAGAAACATCTTGGGTCAGACTTTGGAGCTGCCGAAAGCTGTCACACAAGAACTGGTCTGCCTCGATGGAAGTCTGCAGGAGTGAATGCTCCTCAGGCTCCAGCGAGCTGTCTTAATGCTCGACCCCGACACTCCAGCGCAAAGTGGCAGTCCTCCAGGGGGTGGATGTCAGCCTCCCCAGCCTCCCTAGCAGCGACGCTACCATCAGCCGCTACCTCGGCACGGCCCGCACTGCACATCACTGCACGGCTGGAAGGATCAACATCGGCTCTGCTTCTGAGACCAGTGCTGTCTCTAAGGCCGACGGCTTTGAGGGAGTTAGGCGCAATGATTTCTGGAGGAGCTGGACGTCCAGCAGTGGAGTTTCGTCCTGTGGCAAAACGGTCGGAGGAAGGCACCGCCAGCAAGCCTCGTGTTCCTCTCTGCACAAACCCGCTGGACCGCATCCTTGAAGTGATGCCCTTCATGCGCGCCTCAACCACGCCGCAATCCGCCTCCAGACATTCCGAGTCCGTGGCAGTCACCACGTGGATGACTGCCAAGGTGGCAAACGCAAATCGCACTGCCTCGAGGCTTTGGGTCTGAGTCGGCCTTCCTCTTCCAGTCGCAAAAGTCAGACTGCCGGCGCTGAGGCTCTGACGCTCAACATGAATCGGTTCAAGTCCTTGGTTGATAGCTTTCTTGAGCGAGGAGAGTGCCATCGGATGCGACTTGGGAAGAAAAACGGGATGCTGCCGTGCATGGCTCTGCTGTGCAAAGTCATGCATTGGGCTGCTCTTTCCCACGTCAAAGCATCAGTACGAGAGATGATCAGAGCGACACCCCAGCTTCCCTCATTCTCATCTCACTCGAAGGATCCACGGAAAGCTCAAGGAACCGAAAGACCGTGAGACGTAGTCGCACAGTGCCTCTCCTCGGCACAACTTATTGAGCCATGGATCGCTTCTCTGCAGAAAGTATATGGAGAGTGCTTGCACGCCAGGCGGGATTTCCTCAGCGGGCCTCAGGAGACTGGGAAGCCAGCTTGGAGATCTTGCAGGACTGCACAAGTCCATGTCACACGTGTGCAAGACGACAGGTGCAGGAACCACTGCGCATCTCTTGCTAGACTCTAGACACGTCTAACGCATGAATGCAGCATGGCCACCTACGAGGTTGAAATCCAGAGCTATGGGCCTGTAACACGCCTCTTCGGCAGGCAATGGCAGAACGAGACAGTCTGGGGCAAGCACAACTGCGACCAAAAGCAAATCCGGGATAGTCCGGGTCTCGAGCCAAAAGGATTTTGTGATGGAGTCCGTGTATGCGCCAGCCGTCGGAAAATTGGCTGATCAACCAATCTTGCGTTGCTGACATCTCACTTCAACCGGATTTTGTGCCACCGCTTGGCATTCTTCTGAGCTGCTTTTCATGCTTGCCCGTTCTGGCTCGTGAAACTAGAGCTTGCCAAACCTGCTTACAACATTCCGGAAAGCTGTCGCAGACCGACGTCTATTTGTGTATGGCTTCAGAGTCTTCGGCATAGCAGGTCTGGAACTTAACGCCTGTGCCCACATCCGTGGCTGCACCCAACTGTAGGCAGTCTGGGACTGGCAGAGCTGGAGGTATCAAAACCGATGCTGTGCAGCTCATGATGGCTTCCTTGGTCCACACTGGGCTGAGGAATTCGTCTGCCACGTGTCGCCAACGATTGAAGTTCCAAAATCAACTTAGCTATACTTAGCTACTTTAGCTGTGGTTCTGCAGCTGCATCTGCTGCTGCTTCTCCTGGAATCGCAAGCCCACCCGCCTCGATCACGGAAATATGCTGGGGTCTGGCAAGCACACTCAGACGTACCGCCGGGCCCCCAACTGGGTAAAGGACATGTACTTCTGCACCTCGCTTGTGCATGCGACAAGCAGCAGCCAGGCAACCAGGCAAGTCTAAGCTATGCACGCAGCGAGTAACACACTGCTCCTCAGAACCTTCCAGGCCCTGCGACGGTGAACAAGATGCTTTCAAGGACATAGAACTGACGACCCCATGGACGCGTCCAATCAAGAATGATCTTGACATTGGTATCAGTCTTGTTCCCATGCATGCGCAGGAAGTTGCGAATGCCTTCGTTCGGAAGCTCGTGATGCACTCGTTGAAACATCTTTCCACCAAGTTGTTGTAGGTGTTCATCATCTCCTGCACAGGTCGGAAAGCGGCCACGGCTCAGCTCGTGAGCTCGGATCCATTCCTGCATCTGCATCTCGTTGAGCGCAGCCATGACCTGCATCTGGTCCCTCTGGGACAGTTGGTCCATACCTGGCGGATCAACGAGCGCCCCGGGCCCCGATCGCCCACCCCGGTGCCTGGCATGGCCATGGTTCTTGGAGACCAGCAGGGTGCACCGATCAAGCGGTGCCCGTGATTATTCGAAGCTTTGGAATGCTTGAGCAAACAAAGGACCTACGCAAAAGCCAGAACGCCAGAACTTACTGGTTTCGACGTTGCCTTGCACACATGCTCCGGCTGCTTTCCTTACGTTGACGAAGCTTGGCAATACTGCATCGTGCCAGTTATACCGCGCCTTCTTGCGAAGCCAATTGGCTGTGTTTCGATGGTCTCGCATAAGCTGTTCGTGTCGGCTCTGCAGTGGTTGCAGGGCAAAAAGGCTTGTGAAAAAGTGAAACCAAGCCGGTGAAAGCCGGCTGGAAATACCCAACACCAGGTAACCCCAAAGTCAACAGCCTGAATGAGTGATCGGAGTCAACAGGTAAGAGTTGCGGCTGCCAAGGCTGGCGATGGCCATGCGGTTCTTCTCACAACTCAGATATGACCGCCCTATCATCACTCAGGTAAACGAACCGCACAAGTACCAAAATGAATGTGCACACATGTCCTTCTGCATGCAGTATACCTGTACCAGTGCATGCATGCGTGTATCATGAATGTACCTCTTTAATCCTCTTTACATCAAAAAACTGTATATGTATGTATGCGTGTCTGTATGTGTGTGTGCGCGCATGTATCTGTATACGTACACATACATGTGTATGTGCATAAGATGTACATCTGTACATACATGTATGTATGCATGTGTGTATGTACGCCTAAATCTGTATGCATGCATGCATGCACGTATGTTTGCGTTATGCATGTATGTTTGGGTGTATGTGTGCGCACGCATGAATGCATGTATGATTATGATTGCATGTCTGCATCTATGCACGCATCCATGCATAGATGCATGCATGCATGCATGCATGCATGGATGCATGCATGGATACATGCATGGATGGAAGGATCTAGTCTGCAATCGTGACAAGGTGTGTAAATACGTCTGTGTACTTATGCGTGTATTCAGCATTGAAGCGCGTATGTATGCGTCGTATGTGTATGCAGGATGCATATGTCGTGTGCATATGTGCATGCACATGGAGGTGTGCATGCGCTGTTGGGGTTTGTGTCAGCTTAAGTGAGACTGAGAGTGAGTGTGTGTGTGTGTGCGCACTGTGAGGACAGCCTTTGGGGTGAGGAGCCGCTGGTGACCGTCTTGGCCTCCTCCTGGATCTGGCGGCCTGCCCTGATCAGCAAATACGGTTCTGCGTCCTTGCTGCAAGTTGCTGCTTCTCAACCTCGGGTGGAGCCGATGATGTTCCTGTTAAAGGCGGCGACGGGCTTCCCCATTCTAGACCCGGAGGTCGCCTTGCGGTGTGCCAGTGATTATGCGGTCCGACTTCTATGTTACTCTTGGGCCGATGTTGGTGGTATGATGGCTGCGACAATCCCTTCGCTCCTCTCACTGGCGCTCCTCAACCGCGAACACGAACACGGCTACCGAATGGCGCGCATCCTTCTGTTTCGTGTCCGAAGTATCCTCCCTCTCCTCCTGTCCCGACGGGATTGGGACGGAGTCTTTTTGCTCGGTTGCTGTTGCTCCAAGAGATTTGCACGTCCGCCTGTGCACTTGTCGATGGTGAAGTCATGCTATTCATGACCTATAAACAGCCTGCGTCCGCGTGCATAAGTGCGAGAAGGATGTGCGTATATGCATGCACATGCCCCGACATATGCGGTCTGCACATACGCACATGCATAAACATATCATGCACACGTACATTCATGGCTGGCTGGCTGGATGCCTGGCTCGTGGCTGGATCAATGCTTGAATGACCGCGCACACACACACACAAGGTTTCCAGCTGGGCTCTCACGGGATAAATTGCCCGGAACAATCGGTTTCGACAAACCGCAGGTGACGGCGAGCTGGGCGACGTCAATCGTCCTCGGCTAGCAGAAGGCCCTCGTGATCGTCCGAGCTCATCGCACTCCACCTGGAGGTGCAGCAAGTTCTTCACGGCTCTTCACAGGCTTCTGAACCCCTTTATATGATAGCTCCTTGCTTGGGTCGTTAAAATCTGAAATTCTCTACAGCTTTCCCGAGAAGTCGCCTCTTTGCCCAGGCTTTTAGGGCGCCGCTGGAGTTCTTGCCAAAAGGCTGCTGCCCGACATCGACCAGGCGACGGTTCACACTCGAGTGAAGCAGGGCATCTGCAAGCTCTTCGCAGGAGCAGAGTCCTGCCACAACGAACTTCCGTACCACCTGCAAGCATAAAAGCGTCTTTGGTAGGGTTACAACGACAACTGGCTTGCAAACCCTCCCAAGCCTTGCTCTGATCCTCCTCCTCCCAGCCCGTGTGCTTTGCCACGTCTTTCACGACATCTTCTAGCTCTGCAAGCTCCTCTCCATTTGAGCGCAGAGCAGTGCGAGGAGCTTTGGGGATTCAGGCGCGAGCGCAGGCCTCGGCCACGCGCCGCAGGTGCCGCAAGCTGCGCTTGCCGAAGGCTTTGCCCTTCGGCAGCTTGGAGTTGATGTCGCCTCTCTCCATCCATCGGGACCGAAACCCGAAATCCCCCTTCAAGTTTTAAAAATCCTAGTTCGAAAGCCGGAAATCGCAGAAAAAAACTATAGCCGGGCTCTGCCTGAGAGGACCAGTGTCAGGAAGACATGCGGTGAAGAGATCTCTGCAGACCTCAGATGTGCTACTACATTGTTATATTCGTTATATTTTAGAATCTCTGCGCTCTCAGAATCCCAAAGCAACCCTCCAGTCATCACCGACCATGAAGTGTCCTGCAATGAATATGCCCCCTACACCCTGAAGGATTGCAAATGCTTCCGGGGCAGTCAGGATGCTGGAGCTTCTGTGCCACAGCCTGCTGATCCTCCTCACTCCAGCCGGTCAACTCGGCAGTTTTGCGCACGACTTGCCTCGGGGTTGCAAGCGGCTTCACGTGTAGGCCCACACGCCGTACGCTACAAGAATCTCCTTCACAAGTCCTCGGCTGAACCGAAGACTTCCCAACCGTTTGAAGCTGAGGGCCGGGGAATGCGCATCAGATACGATCCTAGAGTCTCTAGAGTCTAGAGAGTGTAGGTTGCCATCCTGGCGCCTGCCAGTAAGAACGGTGCAAGGGCTGGGCTTCCTGCTCACCTTCGCAATACTTACTGTGCACCTCGCCTGCTGTGAGTTCTATGCTTGCTCGTCACACTGCAACTGTACTAGTAAGTGTAGCGGAACATCAGCAGCCGAAACCACAGCCCCAGCTACAGCATTGCTTGTTCATCCGGATCATCCTCCTTCTTCTCCTCCTCCATTTCTGGAGGGGCAGAAAGC